GGGAGTCTTCGCTGAAAGCTGCCAAAAGCTGCTGTGCTTGTCTTCCTCCTTTCCCCATCCCCACGCCCTTTCCGCAGGCGGAGTGTGCGTGGCCGCTGATACTGTGAATCCTGCGTGTTTTCCGTAAGGGGTACACAAACTGGTGAGGCGTCCTCTGTCCGTGTGGTCTCTGGTGGCTAAAATAAAGCGAGGGATGTTCCTTCAAGGACTGCGGTAGCCATCTGAGCGGCTAACCAGGCCTGGTTAACGGCCATGTCCCATCCCACCTCCAGCCACCCTGGGGAAACCTCCCAGCGCCTTGGCCTCCCTGTTAGGGCTCTGACACAAGCTGGAAAAGTCCCAGATCTGACTAGCAACTACAAGAAGGCTAAATTCACTGTGTGTCTGGGTGTGAGTTTGTTTGAAAGGGTGAGTATGATACATGGCATCTTTATTTCCGTTTCTCGACTTCTGGTTTTGGAGGGCCCTTGGCAACGCGCGAGATATTCCAAGCTGAAAAATTCCGCTGCCAGACTGATTCTTTGAAGGACCAGGGCGTTCACCTGGAGGCGCAGTTTGGAATGAAGATCGGAATGAGAGTCTGAATTGAGATCAGATCCCACCATGATCAGCTCTGCGGCAGTAGCACCGTGCCCTTCTGCGTGCCTCCTCCTCCTCCTTCTACCTATGTCTGGCACTGCCTTGTCGCGGTTCACTTAGGTCCTACCTCGCCAAACACAAAGGTCTTCTAAACTCTAATTCCTATTCTGTTGTTGCTGCGCTTACCCCGTAGCGCTCATTTTGTTTTTAACGCTGTTTTACCTGTGACCCTTTCCTTTCTTGGTTAAACTGCTTTTTCAGCGTTATTTTAGTGAACCCTCTTTCTAATTTCCTGCCGGCTTTGCCCAAGTTCCACAAAAGTCTGCTGTTCTTCCCTGCTTATTAGATGACTTTCACTGTTCTCACGGTCTCTCAGCAGTTGGTAATGAAGACTCCGAAACTTAGCTGCTCAGTCTGCAGGTTTTTTTTTCTCTTTACCCACTTCCTCCTCCTTTTTTTTCTAATCACTGTGTGCCTCTCCACTTCTTTAACCTACAAATATAGCAAAAAGTAAGAGCCTGAACTTTTTTCCCCGGCCTTCCTCATTCTCTCCAGTGATAACGCTGTCATTTGATCAGCGACAGTGAACATTTTGTCTGGCCTAGGTACAGGATAGATGAAGCTACGCTCAAATAAGTCACTGGTTCATTCTATGGGAGAAAGAGAGTTGTGAGGAAGAAAACACTGAAGTGTGCAAAAGAAGGAGAGGAAAGAGCTGATAAGCTTTGGTTCACCCAGAGGTCAGCTTTTTTACTTTTATAACTTCAGATGCAGGTACTAATTCACCTTCTCGCCTACCTATCTTGCAATGAGAAACCCAGCAAAAAGGAGCTCATGGTATAGGAGGTGGTTATTTGCCAATATTTGTAAAGGTAAAAAGAGAAGAATTTTGCAGGGAGGAGTAACGTTGGACGTGGGTCTTTTCTCATTCCTGGAATTATTTCTCCCTTGCAGAAAAGGATTGTTTATTTTGTAATGAGGAAACTACTTCCTTATTTGAACCTGATAGCTTACTGCATGCATCTAAACCCATTATTTCTGCCTTTGTCAGCACTCTAAAAATAGCATTTCTTTAACCTTTACCGATTACTGCATAAAGACTTGTATTTAGTTAATATTGTTTCCCTCCTTCCCGTTCCTTTGCCTGTCTTTATGTAATGTGAATATTAAATCTATCGGGACAGGGAACACTATTTTGGAAAAAGTCTGCAAAGTGCTATGTAAAGCTGTGATGTTAAATAATATTGTAAAGCTAAAGAATATCTTAACGTCATTATTGTTTTTTCTATTTGAGTAGGTGTATGTGCGTATATAAATATATGTATATCTCCACATATACATGCTTCCTATAATGATCTCTCTGTGATTTAGAGGTAAGTGTACCCTAAGAAGCTGATATATTAGTTCCACTCCCAGCTGTTCCTGGGGTCTCGGAGAACTCAGCAAAGTACTTTCGCTCAGGTATTGTCCCACTGCGGATGGAAAGGAGGTAGGGCTACAGACAAGGAAGGGCAAGGATTTGGCTAGGGTAAAGTATAAAGCTTCTCCATTTCTGGCAGCTCAGGCGTTTCGATCTTGCATTTCCCATACAGACAGAATTGTGCTGAAGCCACAGGCATGCTCAGCTGTGCGAGGAATACCAGGAATAAAATTATCCAGTAGCTTATTTGTGTAGAGAATGGCTCCCTCTGTTGCACTTCATGTGAAATATTGTCTTGTAGAATTAATCAGAAATGAAATGGAGAACCTGGCCTCCTACTCTGACATTAGTAAATACTGATGCTATTCTTCGATGAAATGAGGGAAGAAATTGCACAGACCAAATATGCTGGTATCACAGACAATGATTTTGTTGGTTCTGTTAATATGAGTGTTTGCACATTGGGTGTTTATACATATATTTGTGTTTATATACATGTATATGTAGAATGGGTTGATCAGCTGATCAGCTGCTCTGTAAAAGCTAATCTTGTGCATTATTTGTACAAGATCAACTCTGGATGAAGAGCAGCTGGCTATGTGTGGATCACGCTGTGTAAAACTGATATTGAGGAGTAAGGAAGGCATTTTGAGGAAGTAGCTGAGATGTTGAACTTTCCATTCACTGAAGGCATTTGCCCTCTGTTACTCAGTTGTCTTGTTGCACTCTGTATAGGGTTGCATAAAATGATCTGCAGAGTTCACAGTGAGTCACCTGTAACAATGAATCAAATTTAATTTACAGTAAAATGAATCATTAGGATTAAATGTGCCACTCCTAACCCTTGAAATATTGATTGTTTAAAGAAGAGGAAGCTTTAAAACTAGATTCAAAGCTAATATAGGAAATGCAAAGGTAGCAAAAGGTTAACTAACATAAAAGATGGCACTGCTGTTCATTTGTTCAGCTGTGAGCAGAGAGAGATGTTTGCTCTTTCATTACGACAATGATTATAACTTTTCCTTTTTTATTTTAGCGCTTCGTGTCTGGACTTGAAGCAGGTATTTTAACACACGACATCTGGGTCATATCTTGAATTTTAACACTGGCGAGATAAGTGCCTTTTGTGTTCAGTTGTCATTCGGTGGTGCAGTTTTTGTGTGCAGGGCTGCCTGGAAGAAAAACACATCAATATAAACCAGCAGAAGGTCAGGCAGTCACTGTCTGCGTAGGCCAAAGCTTCTGGAGATTGTTTAGAGTTCATAACCGTCTAAGCCTATCACAATAGTCCAGCCTGGGACATGACAAATAGATCATCCTGTTGCTCTGTGGAGTGACTCTGGTACCTAGAATGCAAAAGAATGGCCAGCTCTGGGCAGCTTTGTGGATGCAATCACCACTGTAGAAATGAAGAAGTAAGCACAGCAGCCTTACTGCATGTCTAAGGCCGTAAGCACAGCAGTCTTCTGCATGGCGATCTCCATGCTGTGCTGCATAAAATGCTAGTTCCCAACCTTTTTGGAATAGCAGACCATTGCCGCACCTCCTTTCCTACGGATCCTCAGCCTCGTTACACTCATCAGCTTTTTCTCATGCAAGATGATCGTGTGTGTATATCATACCCCAGGGACAAGCAGTGGCATGCAAACAATTCACACTATCATTTCAAGACAGCTTAACAAACTGATTTTTATTCTGAAGTTATGTATTGGCATGTCGGTTTCTTTTCCCCGGTTATGAAGGGAATTCTTAATGTATATGTAGGCCTTGTCTGACTCGATCTAATTTCTGTCGACAGCTTCCTCTGCTTGCACATTCTGAAACTTCCTGTTTTCTGATGTTATGCACCATGCTGACCTTTTTGACTGTATCATCATTACTG